CTATAAACCTGAACCAGCCCTAGCTATAAACCTGAACCAGCCCTAGCTATAAACCTGAACCAGCCCTAGCTATAAACCTGAACCAGCCCTAGCTATAAACCTGAACCAGCCCTAACTATGAACCTGAGCCAGCCCTAACTATGAACCTGAGCCAGCCCTAACTATGAACCTGAGCCAGCCCTAACTATAAACCTGAGCCAGCCCTAACTATGAACCTGAACCAGCCCTAACTATAAACCTGAACCAGCCCCGACCACAAACCTGAACCAGCCCTAACTATAAACCTGAATCAGCCCTAATTATAAACCTGAACCAGCCCTAACTATAAACCTGAATCAGCCCTAACTATAAACCTGAATCAGCCCTAATTATAAACCTGAACCAGCCCTTCAGTGTCTCAGAGGTCTAAACTGTCTCATGTGTCGTCAGTGTTTCATAGAGATGGAGAAAGCTGAGGAGGCAGAGAAAATGGCAGAAGATTGCAAAGCGAATCCTCCGAGGTTCAACGGGAAACGTCTGACGGTCTACGTCAGCAGGAAGTACAGACGGCTCAAACACGGGTGAGTTTCTTCTTCTGGCAACTTCTGTCTCAATGCTGAAGGTTCGGCTAACACACCGAGTCCTGGCTGACAAGTTGATTTGTTAGAACTGGTGAAATAAGTTATAACATCTGAAGATATGTTAAACAAACTTCTGTGTAAAGTTCAATGTCTATATCCGTAAGTTCAATGGTCCTCATGACCCTCATGGTTCTCATGGCCCTCATGGTTCTCATGGTCCTCATGACCCTCTTGGTCTTAATGGCCCTCTTGGTCCTAATGACCCTCATGGTCCTCTTGGTCCTCATGGTCCTCATGACCCTCATGACCCTCATGACCCTCATGACTCTCATGGTCCTCATGACTCTCATGGTCCTTATGGTCCTCATGGTCCTCATAGCCGCCCTGAATAGACGGATAATGTTGTGTCATGTAGTTTTTAAAAACAAAGATATTCAATGAATCCTCTGCATGACTTCAGTGTGAGAACATTAACTGTATCTGTTGTTTTTAGACATCAATGTCCAGACAGAACCAAGAGAGAGAACAGCAGCATGTCTCCTAAATCCTCCAAACATCCTGAAGAACCTCCTGCTAAGAGATCTAAGGAGGAGAAACCAGAGGAGGAGGAGCAGAAGGAGGAGGAGGAGAAGAAACCAGAGGAGGAGGAGAGACCAGAGGAGGAGCAGAAGGAGGAAGAAGAGGAGTATAAGGAGGAACAGGAGAACAAAGAAGAAAAGTCTTCAGAGAAGATTCTGGAAGTGTCTGATCAGGAAGTGAGTTTTTTCTTTCATTGATCTGATTAATTTGAGTCTGTGATGATGCGTGCAATGACTCCTCTGTCTGCTGCAGGAGGCGGAGCTGAAGGAGGCGGAGCAGATGGAGACGTCGTCCAATCACAACGGAGAGACCGACGCCCCCCCGCCGGCTGAAAACAAACCCAGTGTGGCGTCTCTACCGCTGCCCCCCCACGAGCCCAACACGCCCATCGGTGAGGAGACACATTACTATTATTAGGGGCCGAGCAACCGACAATGGGCTGCGAAGGCCCTATTGAAATTCGAATACACATAGTACATCGGGCTCATATTTGGGGGACTTGACATACTCGGAAACTCCAAATTGTGCACACTTGTCAGGCCTGGTGAATATAGCCATCTGATATAGCTGCATATTTGTGTGTAAAAAATGGCTCTCTAGCGCCCCCTAGAAGTTGGACCGGCGACGCCCCTCGGCCAGTATGCCCAATTGATTTGAAATTCAACACACATGTCCACTTCCGCTAGATCTACAAAAAAGCCTCTCAGACCCCTAAGCTCCGCCTACTTAGATTTTCCGCCATTTTGAATTTAGTGAAAAACACATTTTTGCGAACTCCTCCTAAATGCTGGGTCCGATTACTACCAGATTTGCTGTGAATCATTATTGGATCTACGTCATCAAAAATTATCAAAAGCTCTTTGATATCTCTTTTCGATTATAATGATCAATAAACTTTTTAGGGCGCGGCTTATATTTCAATACACATAACTTCTCAACCGTTTGTCCTAAAATTACCAAATTTGCAGCATATGTGCACATCGCATGCTGTAACATACCCTGAGAATTGTTTTGCATTCAACCACTAGGGGGCGCTACAGTAAACCCACGAAGTTGTGGTTTTTGTCACTTTTTGCATTTTTCAGCCTTCGTACTTTAACGAACTCCTCCTAGAGAATTTATGCAATCAACTTCTCCTTTGGTCAGAATGCTCTTAAGACTTTGTGATTAAAAGTTATCAAATTTAGGAGTTTTCATCAAAGATCCTTGACGTGGCGTGGCGGCCATTTTGCCTCATTGGTTATGAAAAAGGAAGAACTCCAAGGTACATTATCCAATCCGCACAAAACTTCATATGCATGATGCTATTTCAAGCCTGAACATACTTCAATTGAAAAAAACGCAATAACTCATAGTGCCGCCTACTGGCTAAAGGAAATGTCATATTTTATACTTTTATTCATACCTCCTAGCCAGGTGACCTGATGAGTCTCAAATTTAGTAAGGATAGCCTTAAGACATTGAATGTGCATGATCATGAATATTGTGCGTTTTCGTTGAACGCTGTTGCCGTGGCAACGCATCATTCGCCATGAAAAAGGAAGCTGATGGTTTAGTGACTTTGAATGCTCAAAAAATAATGCAACTTTGTACTTGTGTCAAAGGTCATTGGAAGAAATATTTTATATGATTTTTTTAATTGGCCGTTTTAAATTGCATCTATAGCGCCCCCTACAATATTTATAAAGAGCAGCCCCAGCGCTATGTTTCAGCTACATGTAGGAAACTTGGTAGGCACATGTATCCTATAGACACTTAAATATAAGTCTCTTGGGACCATGCTCTAAACCCTACCGGAAGTCGGTCATTTTGGTTTTTGTGTCATTTTTCCATCGATTTTTTTCTAGTCGCTGTACTTTAACAAACTCCTCCTAGGGACTTCATCAGATCCACTTCAAATTTTGTCAGTACAATCTTAAGACCATTGTGATTAAAAATGATCAAAAGCTTTACGTTTGACGGAATGGCTTAGCCGTAGCGGGCAGCTAATTTACGTGATTCCCCATTAAACAAGCTAATGTAACTCAGCGGGACTTGTTCCGGTCCCAAACTTCCCATGCTAACACTCATGGCCTGAGGATGTCTACAAGCTAATTTTCACTAATACTCACAGCGCCACCTGCTGGCGAAAGGAAATCTGTGCTTTCTGACAAACAGCATCCGATTTACGTGACTTTTACACAATGTGGTTTACACTTGATACAGAGCTACATAATGCATGTTTGCATGAGGTCTGTAGCTCCACACAGCGGATACAGAAAGCGGTGCACTATTTGCAAAGCATCATTTCCAGCATCAGGCGGTCCACGCGGGATTAAACACCTCTCACTTGCAGACGCGCTGTCCGACGGCCGCGGACATTCTCGGATGCGCAGACCGGAGTCCCGCTGGCACCCCCGGCGTGCTGGAGGATGCGAGGGCCCGTTCATCGCTGCTCGCAGCTTTAATTCAGTGTGGCTTTGTGGCACAAGGCAGTAAAACTGCCTGTGCCAAAGCACACTGTATATAATCCATCGGGCTTAATAATAACTAGAAAATTCCTAAAGACATTTTGACAGTATGGCTTCTACTGCCCGAAGAAATCGCAATATATACACACGCCAATGTTACCGGTAGTGTCATTCAGGTTCAATTGAGATAGCGCTACTCTCTTTTCTGCATTTTAGATTCATACTCTTGGATTGAATCTTGTATTTGTGGGGCTTTTATTTTGAAAGGGTGGGACTGGGTGAGACAGAGAGAGAGAGAGAGAGAGAGAGCGCGCGTGTGTGTGTGTAACTGGTTGCCACGGCGAGGACGCACCTGGTGTTAGAGGCAGACTGATTAAGGAACATTACAGTAAACAGTGATTTTGAACAAAACCCCTGCCTCTTTTTAACAAATTAGCAGGAGTCTGAGTGAAAGATAAGACTCTGGCAAACGCGCTGATGTGTTTTTTATGTTTGTGGTGTTAATAATGTGAGCTCCAGAGCAATAGACACAACTGGTACCGTCTGCTTTCTTTGAGAAATGAGTGGTGAGATTTAACATTGAGTTTAATGGAGGAGTTGGTTGGAGTTCATGTCGCTCTGCGGCTCTTTGAGCCAAATGTGTAAATCCGTTGGATTCCCCATTCACTTGAATGGGGTTTCGGCGTGAAGAGAGCTAAAAAAACACTTAACTTTGGGCCCATATTGACTAGCCGTACTGTGACGTAGAAACATGATTCAAAGTTTAAAACGTAGACAAAACGCTGCACTTTATTGAGCCAAAGGGACATTTTGATAGCTAGCACAGTTTTCATGAAGTTACAGATTAAGTTTCAGGAAAATTTTGGGTCAGTTTCAGATTTTATAATGGGTGTTTATTGCACGGCTCGTTAAGAGCTAGAGTGAGAGCATAACTGTCAGAGTGGAGCGGAGCAGGAAAATCTTCTGTGATTTTTCCAAACAAATTGCTCCAGCTCCCACAATTTTTACTCTTTATTCACCATTTTGGCCAAAAAGCTTGGAAATGTTGTGCTGTCGCACACAGATGTCTGTGGAATCCAACGGACTTACACATTTGGCTCAAAGAGCCACAGAGCGACATGAACTCCAACCAACTGCTCCATTAGACTCCATGTTAAATCTCACGACTCATTTCTCAAAGAAAGCAGACGGTACCAGTTTTGCATATTGCGCTTGAGCTCACATTATTAACACCACAATCATAAAAAACACATCAGCGCGTTTGCCAGAGTCTTATCTTTCTCACGGTATCCATATTTTGGCACTCAGACTCCTGCTAATTTGTTAAAAAGAGGCAGGGGTTTTGTTCAAAATCACTGATTACTGCAACGTTCCTTAATCAGTCTGCCTCGAACACCAGGTGTGTGGCTCACCATGGCAACCAGTTACACACGCAGGCTCTCGCTCTCTGTCTGTCTGCCTGTCTCTCTCTCCCACTCACTCAGTCCATCTAACTGTCTGCTTGTCTCACTCTCTGTCTCTCTCTCCTCTCTGTCTATCTTTCTGTCTCTCTCTCTCTCTGTCTCTGTGTCTCTCTCTATCATACAGTCATTCAGGTCTTAGATATTTTTAGAGGACTTTTCCCCTCTCCCCCCCTCCCCCCATTTCAAATTAAAAGCCCCACAGAATGAATTCTAACTGGAATGCTTGTGATGAAGCCTCTCATTTTAGTGTCAAACATTATGATTCTGTCTCCTCTCACCCACCCAGTCCCACCCTTTCAAAATAAAAGCCCCACAAATACAAGATTCAATCCAAGAGTATGAATCTAAAATGCAGAAAAGAGAGTAGCGCTATCTCAATTGAACCTGAATGACACTACCGGTAACACTGGCGTGTGTATATATTGCGATTTCTTTGGGCAGTAGAAGCCACACTGTCAAAATTTCTTTAGGAATTTTCTAGTTCAGTGTGCTTTGTGGTACAAGGCAGTAAAACTGCCTGTGCCAAAGCACACTGTATATTATCCATCGGGCTTCATCATAACTAGAAAATTCCTAAAGAAATTTTGACAGTGTGGCTTCTAATGTTTTTAATCATATTTCATGTTTTCAGGTGTTGAACACGTGAAGACGGGTTTTTACTGCCGAGTCTGTTTCCTGTTTTACTCCAACGAGGAGATGGCCAAGAAGACGCACTGTAGCAGCAGGACGCACTATGACAAGCTGCAGGTTAGTTAGTAGTGGTAGTTACCCTAACCCGCACTACGACAAGCTGCAGGTTAGTTAGTAGTGGTAGTTACCCTAACCCGCACTACGACAAGCTGCAGGTTAGTTAGTAGTGGCAGTTACCCTAACCCAGCAGGACGCACTACGACAAGCTGCAGGTTAGTTAGTAGTGGTAGTTACCCTAACCCAGCAGGACGCACCACGACAAGCTGCAGGTTAGTTAGTGTTAGTTACCCTAACCCGCACTACGACAAGCTGCAGGTTAGTTAGTAGTGTTAGTTACCCTAACCCGCACTACAACTAGCTGCAGGTTAGTTAGTGTTAGTTACCCTAACCCGCACTACGACTAGCTGCAGGTTACCTTTAGTGACCTCTAACGTTGGACACAGCGTGCCTCAGAGTGACAGATGTTTGTGGTTTCAGAAACATCTGGAGAAGGAACAGACCAAAGCAGAGAAGAAGAAAGGGAAGAAGATGAGCTTCTAGAAGAACTGAAGACTTTTCATTCTACTTTTTAATTTGGTCACATGTTCAGACTTGTAAGACGAGTTAAATGAACTCACGTCACAGTAAACAGAAGATGAGTTCAGTCGTGTACTTTAAGCTCTTCATCAAGTCTCAGAGCTGTTATAATGTGACAGGAACTACTTCCTGAGGAACAAGTGAAGTGTGAGACGGATGGGTACTCTGTTGTTCGTCCAGAAAATAGTTCCAACTCAAACTGGTTCTTACGTTCAGTTTCTGTATGTAAACGAGTGACATTTTAAACTTTCAATGTCACGAAATGGAAAAAGTGAATTTCCTAAAATGTCAAACTATTCCTTCATGTTTCTTTTCATCATCATAGAGAAGAATGTGTTAAACTTATGTTGATTTTTTGGATTTATGAAATAAACCAGTTTCCTCAAATGTGAGTTTTATGTTTTACAAAATGTTTTCTGCCACGAAGAGTCTCAATCGAAACATGAAGTTTGTAGCTTCATGTTAGAAATCTGTGTTTCATAGTATAGTATGTCGAATAAAGTCATAGTATAGCACTACTATAAACCTGAGCCAGCTCTATATTAATATATACCTCTGTACACACGTGGACACAATTTTTGGTACCCTTCCTTTAAAGAAAGAAAAAGTCACAATGGTCACTGAAATAACTTGAAACTGATAGAAGTGATAATTAGTGCTGCGCAACGATTACAATGTTAAATCGCGATTAATCTCATTGTTATGTCAAAGTTCAATAATGAATTCAAAGTAGTGTATTGCGCACTTTTATTTTAAAGTACTGCTATATGAACTAAAGGTGAATAACATTGTGTGTAAACACTTTAAACACATCAGGTTGTTGTTAGCAGCAGTATTCTCTTCACTATCTGTGCTCAGTGTGTGACTGTGTGTGAAACGTTCCACTGCTGTGCAACAGGAACAACATGTTCCACACGTTCCATCTACATGTGTGTGTTGTGTCTTCATGACAGTCAGAGCATCTGATGCAGCTCTACTCTTCATC